AACGCATCGATAAAATGGCTTTGGACGAAAGAAAGGATGGCAATTATTAGTCATGTTAAGCTGTCGCTGGGCTGACGGTAGGCCGTCGGGATTTCGATTTCCCTTCTCGAATCCCCAGCAAAGTTAGATCGACGATGGGAGAAGGACCACTTGTTTTGTTGGTGCCGATTCTGCATGCAATATGTATTGTTTGTGGTCTTTTTTCTTCTTCCCATGTTTCCATTCTCGTACTTGGCTAGCCTCTATCTGTCGTTTGTGTTCTCCGTAAGGTCTTCTATAAGCTGGCTGGTCATTAATTATCATTTGGTGCATCAATATATTTCAGCAAAAAGATCATGTGAAATTACTCGGTTCGATTTTTTTGGATGGTACGTACTGCGTACAAGGGATGAACATCTCTTTCAAAATAGTTTTGAGACAACGTACGTACACCACAAATTCATCATCAAAATCCGTATATATTTTGTGCGCACAATTAAGTTGGGATAGCAACGTGAATATCAGAGGGTGTGTAGCCTTTTAGACAGCAAACAGCGACAGTCATCTAGATGATATTGGTCAGTACTAATATTGATGGATTTGTCTACCACCTTTCGGAATCGACGAGCCCAACGGCCGAAGACATTATAAGATGACCGAGAGATTTATCATTTATATGCGTTTAGAAAAATCAATTTTATTACTAATGACCAGTAAGATTCTTACTTTTTTTTTTGGCACTCTTTATCATAAACATTCCAAATACAGATTTAAACTACATGTTCATATGTGAGGATAGAATAACAACACCCCTTTTGTTGTTACTGTAACAACAAGGGTATAAGGGTAAAATTACAAGAAAAATAAAAAAACTAAAACATAGAATAAAAACTTTCAGATCTCACCGTCTTCTTCTTCAGCCCATCATTTCTTCTTTCTCCTAGCGCCGATGCCGGCGCCGATTCCAATCCAAACGACCAAGCACCAACATCCCTGGAGAAGGTGGAAGAGGATCGATTGCCACCGTCGCATCTCTCCCTCTCTGTTACCACCTCCGCTTAAGCTTCTTGTTGGCGGTCGATTCCGACGCCGAGCTCCGCCTAGGGCTGGGAAAACGGTTGCGGTTTCGCGGTTAACCGATAACCGCACCAAAACCGCGCGGTTATTGGTTAACCGCAAACCGCATGTTTTGCCTATTTTGCGGTCGGGGTTGGAGATATGGGCTGTTTTGCGGTTTGCGTATTGCCGTTTAACCGCAACCGAAACCGCAAATCCATATAACCACAAGGCTAACCGCTACCCAGACCCAGCCCCAGCCCATAGTTGACCCCCCAGCCCAGCCCAAAGTAGACCCCCAACCCAGCAGCCCAAACCCGACCCGGTCCCTCCCCCACTTCTCCCTTTTGCCGTCGTTTTGATTTGACAAAATGAAAGTCAAAAATCCATTTCCCTTCGACCCTTCCCATCTTCCCGCGCCGTCGTCTGATTCTGAAAACCCTAAGCCAAGCCAGCAACTGAAAACCCTTCGACCCTTCCCATCTTCCCGCTGCGGCGCTGCGGCGCTGCCATCTGCCCGCCGCCGTCCCTGGCCGTCCGCCGTCCCCGGCTTCCTCAAGGCTGCGCCGCTGTTCCTCTGTTCGGCTGCTCGGCTGCTCCTCTGTTCGGCTGCTCCTTTGTTTCGCTCGACGTCGACGCCTCGTCCCTCGACCTGCTCCTCTGTTCGCTCGACGGCTCGACCTGCTCTCGTCGTCGAGCACCTCTTCCTATCTTACAGATGCAGGGGCTTGATGGAAGTGAAAATAGACAAAAATAGTAGCTGTTGTGTTTTTTCCCCATGTATTTTTGGTGTTAGTTCGCGGTTAATTCGCGGTTAGTTTGCTTAACCGCGGTTTCGTATACTATTTCTGTTGTTGCGGTTTTTACAACCAGAAACCGCGGTTCACTGTTAACCGCGTTCTGCGGTTTTACGTTAACCGCTAACCGTGAGGGACGCGGTCGCGGTTGGCTAATATGGGTGTTTTGCGTTGCAGTTAACGGCAAATTGTGGTGCAGTTAACCGCAACCGCACCGTTTCCCACCCCTAGCTCCGCCCACAAGTTCTTCCCCATGGCGAACAACCTCTTCTTCTTCTTCTTCTTCTTCTTCCAGTCCTCCTCTGTATCTTCATCCTCGACGGCGAGTCCTCCACCAGCTCCGCCCTCAATTTTGTTTTGGTCTCCTACGTCGGCCGTCGCATCGAACAACTTCAACTCCGGCGATGAAGGACTCACCTGACGACTAGGAAGAAATCCCGATGATACAACCCTGGGGGTTGGATTTTTACCAAAGTACGCAGCAACACAATCAATCCAAGGATTGGATTGATTAAAACGAATTTCGAACCAATAACAAGTATGTTCTTGGGTGTTTGGATAAAACGGAATCAAACGTGCAATTCCACACCTGGGGAAAGGCTCGATTGATATAAGGATAGATGCCCGGCCACGATCAACGCGTTCTTGATCGATACAAGAGCTCAACGAGCTTGGAATCCACCAAAGCTCACACAAGTACGCAAACTTGCAAAAACCCAAAGGTTTCAATTCAATTCTTCAAAGTCTGAATTTTACAACGAAAATAGAAGGCTATTTATAGCCAATAAAACCTAATACAAACCTAATGTAACTAGGAAACAATTATGGTAAAAACAAACTCTAAAAACAGTACAAAACTCGGGTTTAAACTCCCTTTCTTGAAGAGCAAGTAAGCTGCCAGCAACGGTCCAAAAGGCAGCTTTCGTACTAACTTCGCACCTTTTGTTCGAGGCCTTCCCGAACTCCAATTCTTCATCCAATTCCTTCCCTTTGTTCACAAACATACCTAGTTTCATGTTGTGGAAGCCTTTTGACTTGAATCCCATCCATGCTCCTTGAATTGATCTCCAAAGTAGGCTTCACAGAACAGTTTTCTGCCTTAGTCATTTTCTGGCAGTTTTCCAGTTTTAAGGTAGCAACTTTGAGGACTTGGAAAACAACCTTAATGACATCTTCTGGATCCATAAAGCATACCATTGGAAAGATGGTAACTTTATCTGCAAAACAAACCCTTACAATTGAATTTCCATCATGTCAATTGAGAGAACCATGCTTCCAAAGTATGTACCCTGAACACGGATTTTGACTTAGCCAAATTCTGCCCTTCTTCTTCCCAACTTCGTTAGCTTCTTTGTCGAGTAATTGTGACATGTACAGTTGGCTATTTGGGATCATATCACCCGATCTCGATCCCGACTTCGCTTTGCCTTCCTCGTCGTTTGGTCTCGCCACCTCCTCGTTGGCCGCATCCACGCCTGGCAACGCTGATGCTAGTAGAGCCGCCTGCGAGACCCGGTCTGCCTGTGTATACATGTATAATCAAGGCCCAAACTGCTCCAATCAAATCAGGTTATGAAGGCGCTTCGTCTTGCCAAGGTGTGAAATATTAGAGGGGAGTTGGCTATTGTTACTGAATCATCAATGACTGCGACGCAAGCTGGGAGGATTGGAGCTAATAATGTATGTATAAATATAAAGGGGACAGATCCATATTGGAATTTCTGTTTATGCAAATAATTTTTCCTATTGGAATTTCTGTTTATGCAAATAATTTTGTGACTTCTTTGCCTATACGAAGTTGTAATATACTGAGATGAACTTACGACAAATGAAATCAGAATTATCTAAAAGTACCACAAATGTCCTTAAACATATGAAAAAATACCATAAATTTCTGAATACAAACCACGAACACAGTAAAACAATCCAAAAAAGCTTACCGGAAACTTCTTAATGCAGACCACAAGTTTTCTAAAATAAACTAGTAACCTCACAAAACAAACCACAAACCTCATAAACCAAACCACAAATATTTTGAAAGCACACCAGAAACCTTCTAATGCATACCACAAATCTCCTAAAACAAACCACAAACCTCACAAAGCAAACCACAACATTTGCGAAAGCACACGAGAAACCTCATAACGCAAACCACAAACACAGTAAATCAAAGCACAAAAAAGCAAACCATAAACGTCCTACTGCAAACCACAAATATATTAAACACAAACCAAAAACCTCACAATGCAAACCACAAAGTTTTTGAAAGCAAACCAAAAACTTCTCAATGCAAACCACAAACACGATAAAGCAAATCACAAAAGGCATAAAAAAATATGAGAAACCAAACCATAAATCTCACAATGCTAACCCTAACATCCGCTGATCGTTGACCGGTCAACGAAGTTCGTTGACCGAACTCCGATGACCGTCGGTGAGCAGATTCAGACGCCGATAGGGCTGGGAAAATAGACCAGACCGTTAGAAAAACTGTGGTCCAAATCGTACCGCAAAGTTTGGTCCGGACCGTAGACCTTTAAGTATGGTATGGTCTAGTCCATGGTCTGGTCTGGTCCATGGTCTGTATTATTTTATGTTTTGATTTCTTGGTCTGGTCTGGTCTAGACCACGGTTTACCGGACCAAACCGTGGACCCAACTGACTTGTCAATACATGTTAACAACCCATTCAACCACTCTCCCAACTCCCACAAAGACACCCAAGTCTCAACCTTAGTTTTGTGAATCTCGTCCCTCCTTCATTCACAACCACATTTAACGAGAGAGTAGAGATAATTGTGTCTTCATATGACATTATGTTAATGCTTATGACGTTATGGTGCAAGTTGGGATGCTTTTACTTTGTATATTTGTTATGTACTAAGATTTAGGGTATCAATATTATTCATGTATGTTAGGATTAACGTGTTAAGGCAAATAACAAGGATTTTTCTTGGTTATTGGTTCAATTTTTTGTGTGGTTGACTAAACAAATTATTCATTTTTCGTTGAGTGTGGTCTATCTGGACCAGACTAGACCGAACCAGACCGCACAGGCGTGGTCTGGACCGGACCGTATAGTTTGTGGTCCGGTCTGTGGTCTATACTTCAACCTCTTAGTCTTGACCATAGACTATATATATGGTATGGTCTGGACCAGACCGCACCGTTTCCCAGCCCTAGACGCCGATAGGCATATTCCGGCCCCAATGACTAGATTCTGACGCCAGTAAGCATATTCTGACGCCGGTAAGCATATTCCGGCGACAAATAGCATATTCCGGTGACCGACGAGTCGACGACCAGTTTCCGACGACCAAATTTTTAGGCAGAAAATAAAAAAATATTATTATTATTTTTTTATTATTTAAACATATTTTCATAATGACAATTATACCCCTGCTTTGATTTTACACTAGGTCAACTCAACTAATAAAAAGTCAACACATCCCTACCTTCCTATTGGTGGAAGACTAGTGTTGTCACTATAACAACACAAGGGGTGTTGTCATAGTAACCGGTCCCATGTTCATATTACTCTTTTATCATTGTTATAAGAACTGAACTGGATCAACGGGTAGGCCAATAGAACCGCCAAACCAGTTACAATAGCTGTTCGGTCTATTATTTGGACGGTTATTGATCGATCAAACGGTTTTTCACGGTTCAACGTAAAATCATATGAGAACCATCACGGTTTAACTGGGCCACTGGTTCAATATTTTAACAAATTTTTAAAAAAAATACTTAACATAAACTAAAGACCATTGAACTAGAATTATTAATTTTATTTATGTTCCTCTTCTCATTTCCAACCTTGTTGTCGACTTTAAGTGGTCCACTAATGACTAACACCGTAATTTTTAACTCGAATTAAAAAATGATTTTCTTTGTGAGATGATTTAAATGATTTGTTAGATATTTGATGATATGAATTTGAAATTGTTTATGATCAGTGATAACTTCATTCTTAAATTAGTGTCTTATACAAGTTTTGTACATTATATATCATGAACGGTTCTGTCAACAGTTAACCAACGATTTTGTAGCGGTTAACCACTCAACTCTAAACTACTAATTTTTCCGGTTTCGCATCCGCTCCGGTTCTAAAACAGAGTCTTTAATCGATTTCTTTCTATGTTCTATTCTTACTAATAAAGAGTTACACTCTATTTCCCTGACATTCAGAAAAAGAAACCATAATAAGAATCTATTATGAAGGGACGACAAGTTAGATTCAAAAAACTTCACTCTCTCTCCCCTTTTTTTCATCTGACCTCTCTAAAGGTTCGCAGTTGAGTGGCCTGCTGTCGGCGCCTCTCCGGCGACCGGCAGCAGCTCTCCGCCCCAAGTTCTATTTTCCCAGCTTTTTTCCCGCGTTTTCTTTCTTCTTCTGCTATTTCCAGCCATTGTGGCTTTGCTTTCATGCATGTGTCTTTCCCCCTTTGTGGATTAAGTTCCTTCCCTTGTCTTGGGTTGATTTTTGTCCCTCTGTTCTGATGATTCAGATCTGGAGATGTTGATCTTTCTAAGTTGCAAGGAGGCTAGATCTTGTTCAGATCTGGCTTGTCTTCTCCTTTCCATTCCATAGTCTACCTCCCTGCTCTCACCTTGCAGATCTTGGTGGTTCGGAGTTGCAGCCTTGGGCGACGGATGCGGATCTGGAGAGTTTAAAGACAGAAGATCGTCTCCCCTTTGTTTCCTCACTCGGCCGACCGATCGTGTGTCTGAGGTCCCATGGTTTCGAGCGGCGGGAGGCAGACGAGCGATTGGCTCGGGGTGGTGTTGTTTGAAGACTTGTCTTCATCTTCCTGCCATCCGGGTTGGTGGAAACCCCTTCCTCGGTCTGACGGATGGTCGCGATGTCCTCGGCGAGTGACGGCGGCGCATGGAGTCGGCTGTGTGGCGGCGGCGGTTTTCGATCACGGCGGTGGGGATCCAGAGGGGGGCAATGGCGGCTAGAGTTGGGAGCTGGGAGATTGGTTTTGGTCCATGACTTTGGGCCCTATTGTGGTTCCGGGTTTTTGATGGGCCTTGTTTTCTTTTCAGATTTTCAGCCCTTGTCTGTTTGTTGTGTGTATCTTTTCCTTTGGGCCCAGCCCATTACATTCTTCATGAACCACTTTTTTCAAAAAAAAAAAAAAGTCATCAGTCAATATTGTACATCTACCATATTATGTATCTGTAGACTGTATCTGCAAAATTCCGTCAAAATGGACCAAAAACTTTCGAACTTTACTATTCTTAATCATGCCTGTAACACATGAGGGTTATGGTGATTACTAGTAAATTGGATATGAAAAATAATATTTATTAATTTCCTCTTTTAATAAATTATATTTTAGGAAGTTACATAAATATACTAACTGTTATTTTTTCTCTTTTTTGCTCATTTCCGCAATATTCAGTTAGATCTATTTCCCTTCTTTTTCGCAATTTTTTTTCTTGATTTCGTTCAGGCGAACTAATACTAGTGCAACAACAAAACAACAAATCAATACCAATCCATTAAAAACACACTAACATTGCACAAAATACGGGTAAAATTGTACATGGGCGCTGGGCCGTGCTTGGGTCGGCACGACACGGGCACGCTTCGGGCCCATTTATTTCGTGTCGTGCTTGGCACGGCCCATCAGTTTCCGTGTCGTGTCATGCAAGCCCATTTGTTAACTTTGCTAGGCCCGACCCAGGCCCAGGCACGGTTCGAATCGTGCCTTGTCTATTCGTGCTTGTGTCATGCTCGTATTCGTGTTTAATGAAAAAGACGAAAACAAAAGAGATAATGAAAAAGAAGGTGAAAATAGGACAGAGGAAGATAGTATTAACCTATAGTGTTTGTGAAAAGTAACAAATAAGGGGGGAAAGAAAACTGGAAGTATAGCGAGTGTGATTTGGCTTTGTTTAATTCTTTGTCCATTTTTACTTATGCTAGTAATTCCATATATATCTTTATGACATTTCTAACAACAACAAATAATTATTTTTCTCCTTATGTTTTGTAATATTTGAACCTATAATTTTTTATATTTATTTTCTATAAAATAAATATTATTTTTGTGTCATATCCGTTCTTATACTCAAGAAAGTCTCGAAAATATTAGGCCCGACACGACCCACTTATATATCGTGTCGTGCCCGTGCTCGTGCCCATGAAGTTTAGGTCCGACACGTCCCATAAATTATTCGTGCTCGTGTCGGGCTGGCCCATTTATTTCGTGCCCGTGTTCTAACCGTGCCGTGCTAGCCCGTGAGCGGCACGGCCCTGTGCTCACGTACAGGTAAAATACATCGGGTGCCACTTAAGTTTGCGAATTGGGGTAGGCATACCACTTAAATTTCAATAGGGCGTCAGGTACCACTTAACTCTATTATATGTGCACCTGATACCTCTTAAGTTTACTGTTAAGTGCATTCCGTTAAAATTTATGAAAAATATCATTTGGACTTATGAAAAATATCATTTTTTATTGTAAAAAACATTTGGACTTATGAACAATATCATTTTTTATTGTTTTTTAGAATCCTATTTTGAATACTTGATACTAAACCAATTTTTGAATAGAATTTTAATAATAAATTATCATTATAATTATTTTCAATTATCATTATGTGTTCTAATAATTGAATTATTCCATGAATGTTGTAGCTTTTATAGTCATATTTTCTTTTCTACATTTTTTACAGAATGTTGTAGCTTTTATATTTTATTTATTACTTGGTTACTTTTCATCTTTTTTGTTCTATTTTTTTCAATTAGTGAAATATTTTTATTCTTTCTGATTGTGTTTCATTTATCCTTTTTTTATTTTGATGTATTGATGACCGATTAGGTTCTGTTTTAATTATTTTATTTTGGTGAAACTATTTTTTCTATTTCTAATGGTTCTTCTAATTGAATAAGTGAGTTTAAATAGATATCCAAAATTTATTTTAATATTTATTATTATATTCTAGCATATTTATTAGTCTTTTTTATATTCTTTTACTATTTTTACTAATTTATCTATTTTATTGAATAATTTTGATGAGTCATTCTAGTAATAATATATTTAGAAGGTTTTCTAATTATTATATTAGATAAAATTTATTGAAATATAATTTTGGATGTTTTTAAAAGTTTTGGGTATAAAAAAAGAAATCAAAAGTTTGGGTTGGATGGAAAAGTATACGAATGGATATTTTGGCAACTTTAATGGTACCTGACGCCCTATTCAAACTTAAGTGGTATCTCTACCCTAATTCTCAAACTTAAGTGGCACACGAGATATTTTACCCCACAAAATACCAATATCATTCGAAAAAATCAAAAATAAAACACTACCATTTCACAAAACAACAATACAATTGCACATTTAATCAATACCATTACATGATAATCAACTGAATCGCTAAATGTCGCCCTAACAATTGCTAAATGTCGCCCTAACTTAAATGAAAAATTACCTATATGCCCTTAAGCAAAAACTCAAAACAAACAAACCCTTATTCACAATTCAAATTCAATTCCCCCTCCCCCTCAACTCCTCTAACCTCTGCAAATCACCACCTCACCGCCGACCACCTGTCGTCGCCAGGCGCAGCCCGCCCGTCGCCTCTCGCGCCCGCCGGCCCGCCGCTCGTCCCGCCGCCCGCGTCGCCGCTCGTCCCCCGCGTCGCCGCTCGTCCCCCGCGTCGCGCCGGAGAAGAAGGTAAAAAAAAAATGGCAACCGCAGTCAAACCGCGGTTTGACCGACGGTCAACGCGCGGTTGAACCAACGGCTTACCGCGGTCAAAGGGCGATTGACCGATGGTCAAACTGCGCTTTGACCGCGGTCAGCCGTCGGTTCAACCGCTCGTTGACCGTCGGTCAGACCGCGGTTGACCCTTTTTTTTTAAATTCTGTTTTTAAATTATCTTTATTTAAATAAATGTTAATAATAATAAAAATAATTAAAAAATATATTTAATAAAAATAATTTAGTTATAATTATATTTAATGATAACATATTCGATAAATGTTACTTTAGTTATAATGTTAATTTAGTTATATGATATAAAAATTTAAAAAACGTTTTCGATATATGTTAATTAATGATAAAAAATTTAAAGAACATAATAAAAAAATTAAAAATGTATTTTTATCATTTTAATAATCAAAATTTCAAAGTAATTCGTTTATCTACTTAATTATTAATAATTTTACCTTGATTAATTATTTGCTTTTATGTAAATAATGATTACATAGAACGTAACATAAATGTCAACTATTAATTTTATAATTTTAATTATGGAAATCTTTAATTAATTACTTTATGTACTCTATTATTAATAATCCATTATTAATAATTCAAACTTTTTTTTGAAGATGTCTGGACATGGAATGGGTAAACCGGATATGATTAAGGCGAGAAATAAGGAGAGAATGGAAGGTCGTGCTTGTAGACTTACGGCGACTGGTAGGAAGGAAAATGAAGAAAAAAATCCACCTCAGGTTAGAAGGAAGAAGAAGGCGGATGTAGTGCGTCGTGACGGCCACCCTACTGTGGGGCAGTTGTCTCTTAGTCGAGGTACTACCAGTACTCCTACACCAGAGAGCGCACCGGTATGGCAGGCTAATTGGAGTGATTCCATTGACGAGGATGATGATGATGACGGTGAGGCTGAGGTTGGGAATGCCCCAGATGCTGGTGATGCTGCTGGTGATGATGCTGGTGATCGTGCTGGTGATGCTGCTAGTGATGCTGAGGATGGGGATGCCCCACCTCAAGCTGATTTAGGCGTGGGGAAGACGGCGCGGGTCGGGATATCTTCTACTGCCTCCTCCCACTTCCGTGGCCCCGATGGACGCTATGCGTCCAGACCTAGTAGCGAGGATGGCAGAGATGGAAATAGGAAGAGGAAGACCACGAGGAAAGATATGTCATGGTTTCTTACAGCCGAGTCTCCGATGTGTTCAGGTGGACCAGTGATTCCCGATGTGATCCCTAGCTTTGGAGGTCACATTGGTCTTGTACTGTGGAATACCCCTGAGCAGGACCGTGGAGTGTTGGACGGCTTCCATAGGCCGAAAGCTTTAGAGACTTTGAGGCGATATAAGTGGAGTGCAGAGGGTTCCAAGGAGATGGTTGAAGCCACAGGATTGTCTCACTTGACAGGGTGCATGATGCAGCATTTTGACATGGCTCTACTGTCGGCATTTGTGGAGAGGTGGCAGCCGGACACAAACACCTTCCACATGCCGTTTGGAGAGATTTCGATCCTTCTACACGATGTGCATCACATTCTTCGGATACCGGTTGAGGAAGAGATGATGGGAGATGAGGCGTCGCCGGATACTCTTAAGTCAGACATGGGTGGTCTAGTTCGACTTTTGGTGGATGCTCAGGTTAGTGGTAAGTGGAAGTCTAAGTGGTACGATAATGGTGCTATGCATGCAGAGGGATTGTTGGTGCGTGGGGGAGAGTTGAAGATTAAGGAGATGGAGGTGCAGTGTTACCTATTTGTGTTAATGGGATCCACGCTTTTTGTGGATAAGAGACGTGATCGCCTTCGTCCTGCGATCAACTTGTTTCTGAAGGATCATCGACGATTGACTGATTACGCTTGGGGAGCTGGTGCACTAGCCTATCTCTACAGACAGTTGGGAGTGGCCACACGAGCGGGTAGTAAGGGTCTTTGTGGTTGTTTGACCCTGCTTCAGGCTTGGATATATGAGTACTTTCCTCTATTCCGTCCGAGTCAGCTGCCGCAGTCTCCGGATGCACCTCGTGCTTCCTCGTGGATTTCTCCCTGTTTGCCAGGTGGGGATTAGGCTAGACAGAGGTTAGCACGTTATCGACAGTTGTTGGATGAGCTTTCAGCTGATGATGTGACTTGGACTCCGTACGGACGAGATGGCCACACAGATATACCCTGCTCCTTGTATACTGGCCCCATTCGCTTTTCTGACATTGCTGAGGGATACGATCCTGCACGTTGTCTGCGCCAGTTTGGATACCGACAGATTATCCCCCGTGCTATGACGGTACCACATGACCAGTACCGTCCGGCTTCCGGCAGCAGTTACATAGTCCTTTGGGATCCGTGGGTGAATCAGTTGTGGGATATCGTGGCAGCCCGTCGTCTACAGTTGGATTTTGCTTCTCGGCCGTGCGAGCACCCATCGGAGATCGTGGAGGAGTACGTTGACTGTTTTCTGACTAGATCGCACCCACGGATCACCCACCCCACTGATGGGGTGCCTCAGCCTCGACCACTACTAGTTCATCAGGTTAGTTATGACTTTCTTTTGCTTTTCCAAATATAAAGAACATTTGTTATTTATTCTAACATTGTTTTCTATTTACAGTTGAGAGAGCAAATTGTGGATCGTTTAGGTCCCGTGTTGCTGACGAGGGACCGGAGTAAGTGGGAGGAGGACGGTGGTAAGATCTATGACATGGTAGCTGGGGTTTTCGAGTTGTACGACCAGTTGGTAGGGCAGCCGCCTCAGTAGACGATTGTGTTTTTTATTTGTCATCGTTTGTAGTTGAACTGAGACTATTGTGTTTTTTATTTGTCATCGTTTGTAGTTGAACTGAGACTATTGTGCTTTTTATTTGTCATCGTTGGTAGTTGAACTGAGACTATTGTGTTTTTTATTTGTCATCGTTGGTAGTCGAATTGAGACGGTTGTGTTTTTTTTTTACTTTAGTTACATTCAATGCATTGCTAAAATAGTTAATCAAGATTACTAAATGTTTCAACAATAGAGAGTTATACAATTCGTAAAATATACTTCCAATCTTCATCCCCGTGGGTTCAATCTATCATAAAGCGCACGCTCATGTAAGAAGAATTGATCCCACCCATTGACACTAGGGTCATGAAAAATAGGCCAAAGGCCATTAATTGGAGGCATGGGAACTTGACCATGTCGAAAGTCAAGTCGCACCCAATGATCCCCCGTAAAATGTAGTGATAAGATCCCACGTGGTCTTGTTACTCCTGGTGGGGCCGTCACAGGTAGCACGGTATAACGACCGCCTTGACTGTATACAACGATAGCCCATGAATGCAAGGTGGCGAAGACGAAGAGTTCC